AACCTGATGATTTCCCAACACAACAAGTCGAGCTTTATACCTCTCGATACTTCCATCAGAGTTATACTTAATCCGAAAGACCCACATAAAACCCAGAGCTTGTTTACCTTTAGGTAAATCTTCGATTGTGAATGTATTATTGAGATCCAAAGCATCAATTTCTCCAGTTATTGCAAAAAAAACGCCATTTTTCATCGCGAATCGCTTCAAAGTAGCTCTTAGGTTCCATATTAAAAGTAATCACATATAAATATGCTTTGTGATTATCGGAAAATCTGGAGCAATCAACAAAATTATCAATAGCATAAGGTGTGCTATGAACAGTATTTGTGACATAACCAGCCAACCTTTTCGAACGAAAAGTCTTGCGATGTCCGCGAACAAGCTGTGCAATTTCCCATCGGAGTCGGAGAAGACGTTAACAAAAGGAGCTGAGATGAGTTGTATTCATTAGTATTGAACTCTAAAGGAGTTGTGCCTCCAAGAGAAAGTATTTCAAGCCCAGATACAAATGAACTCGGCCCAGAAGAATTAGGAGCAACTAAGGCCCGTGATAAAGTATTTTGAAAGTCATTGTCGTCATTGTCATAAACCAGAGACGACGAAACAGGATCCGTCGGAGAAGAAGAAGATGAAACCGCATACAGGAACTCATCTTCACAGAAAACAACATCTCTAGAAATTGAAATCTTCTCAGTTTCCAAATCAAAAATTCGCCATCCTTTTCGTCCAAAAGGATAACCGATGAAAACACTCTTCTTACTTCTACTTAGCAAATTTGTCACCCTTATGTTGTTAATTGTACACATAGCACAAACAACCTAAAACTCAAAGATGATCAAGCGGTGGCGGATGCCCATATAGCAGCTCAAAAGGTGTTTTTCCATGAAGAACTGATGATGGTGTTCGATTTATTAAGTACCCTGCAGCTAAGGCGCATTGTCCCCAAAATTCAATTGGGAGATGAGATTGGAATCGGAGAGCTCGTGCCACGTTCAAGATATGTCTATGTTTGCGCTCGACACGCCCATTCTGTTGGGAAGTACCGAGGCAAGAAGTTTCGTGAATGATTCCTTCTGTTGCAAAGTAATCTCTGAGACAGATGAACTCAGAGCCATTGTCACTTCTAATCATTTGAACATGTGTTACAAACTGTCGCTCAACAAGAGCAATAAACGTTTTTAGAGTTGCTGGTGCTTCATGTTTGGATCGAAAGAGATAAATCCATGTTGTACGTGAGTAATCATCCAGTATGGTTAAGAAATATATTGATCCACATAAAGTTGGAGTTCGATATGGACTCCATAGATCACATTGGACAAGTTGAAAACAAGCTGTTGTTTTAATCAAACTGATTGGAAAAACATCACGCGTTTTTTTAGCACGCAGACACACCTCACATGCTTTATTAGTTAAAACACCAGAAACACCAGATTCCCTATTACTACTCCTATGAACACCAGAAAACGAAAGTGACTCAACAGCCTAAGGTGATGGATGCCCCAATCTGTGATGCCATATTTCAAGAGGGCGTCAATCCATATGTTACACAGCAGCTACAGTTTCCAATTCTCTAAATAAGTAGAACTTGTGCAATTGCTCACCCGCACCAATCAGCATCCTCGTGGTGCGATCCTGAATAATATAAATCTTATAGGTGAGTTGAAATACACAAGAAACCTCTCGAGTTAACTGCAAAACAGAGATTAAATGACAATGGAGATCGGCCACTAAAAAAACATTCTAAAGATGCAAATGAGAGCCTATTTTCACTGAACCCAACTGATTTGTCATCGTAAACCTTCCATCTGGTAGTTTAATAGACATCTGAGACATGTCTCGAATATCAGACAAGAATTCAGCATTGCCCGTCATGTGATTTGACGCGCCTGTATCAATAATCCAAGAGTTAGTAGAGAACGTACCTGTGAGTTCTGACTCACTCTTGTCACTTTTTCGTTCATTAAACATCTGCATCAACATGTGCCAGTCATCCTCTTTAAGTCTGCTGATTCCAATTCTGTCATCACCCGTAACCATCAAGTTTGCCCTATGGGAGGATCCACTAGTGGTAGCCACCATCGAATTGGCTATGGCAACAGCGACACCGTTGTTACAAGACTGATCTCGTGACGGAGGGCCTCTGTTTTTTGGACAATCTCCCACCATGAAGGATACCCAATGGTGCAAAAACAATTCTCTGCCACATGACCGGACCTGCTACAGCTCGAACACAGAACTCATTTATCATTCTGTCCTCCATAAGCCTTCGGAATTGCCTGTGCGGCACAGCTTACACCATCATTACGATTATCCACCATTGCTCCAGTAGATTTTGATTCTTCGTCTTGAGTGAGCACGTTGTAGGCCTCGTCAAGAGTGGGAAGAGGATCTCTTGACAAAAGCGATGACTTAACTGCACCAAATACAGATTCATCAACTCCCAAAAGAAATTGATGCAGCTTCTCTTGAGTTCATTCCTTCTCCAAATCATGCCTGTGAGGACAGCCACAGTTCGTTGTATAACGATAGTCATCAAGGGTCGTCTAGATCTGCATCAGCTTCCTGTAATAGGCTTCAATAGCGAGGCCTCGCTGATGACACACGGCAAGCTCGGTCTTCAAACGTTGAATTTTCTGGCCATTTTTCAATGAAAATCGCTGTTTGATATGCTCCCATAGATCATAAGCCACATCACGATGAGATATTATTGAGCGGAGTGTCGGATCAATCGTCAGTTTCACCCATGAAACGACCAAAGCATTGTTGGTCCACCAGTCTTCGAGATCACCAGACTTTTTAGTTGGTTTAGGGATAGATCCATCCACAAAACCAAATTTCTTCCCTAGCGGTGAGAGCTAGTTGGATGTTAGTGGCCCATTCATCATAATTGGTACCACGTAACAAAGGCTGAGAGATCAGCGATCCGGGGTTATCACTTGAAGTGAGATCGTAAGGAGAGACTGTGTGGCGTTGGATCTCTACTTTTGGAGTAGCGGCGGAAATGGATTCAACAGCTGCAACGTTTGATTTCTCGTTAGCCATTTCGAGGTATGAGAATGATCAGAAAAGAAAGAATAAATCAAAGAAAAAAAATCGCAGAACAAGCTTCTAATTTTGTGTTTTAGAGCTCTGATACCATGTCATAAACCAGAGTATAAGAGTTTATCATGTCGTTACTCATGTGGGCAAATGCCTTAATGTATAGTACATATGCGATAATCTCTCCGAGATAGATACAAATCTATTGTGCTAAGTATATACAGAATATACTAACTATATAGTAGTTGTTACATAAATGATATGATATTTAAAGATATTGTATCATAACACCACTTATCCTGTTTGATGTTTCTTGCATTGATTAATGCATACTTTAACACAGCTTCTTTGAATTCATAGCCTGTAAAGAATGATGTTCATAATCTAACTTATCAACCTTCCTTTGTCTCATTCTTCTCTTTTTCACAACCAATTCGTCTTCTTCTTCTGAATCGGAGCTTTTTGGAATTATGTGTCTCTGCCTAGATACCTCGTCAACAAAATCTGCAACTTCTTCTTCGATTTCATACTCATATCGATCCACTACATCGTCCTCTTCATCTTCATTCTCTTCTTCATCTCTATTCACTTCTTCGTCTCCATTCTCTTCTTCATCTATATTCTCATCATGCTCATTCTCTACGTGTTCTCTGAAACAAAAAAAAAAACAAATTTCGAATTCAACATGAGACACAGCAAACAGTCTCCTCTCTCTTACAATTGAGTTTCGTACCTGAGAACAAATTCCAGTTCATCCATCCTAACAAAACAACGGCCGGTGATGACAAAAATTAGGTGATGATAAATACTGTCGTGACAAACACCAGTCAACTCTATATCGTCAAACCCCAATTCGGTTTTGACTTTGACACAATTTGGGGTTTATTTTTGTTGCTGGGTCGGGGTTTTTTTTTGGGATCGGGTTTCGTTGTTTTGATCGGGCAATCACTGTTTTTATTAAACGCAATTTAAAACATTAATCGTGATTTGGTAATGTTAATTTTGTAGGTGGAATTAAGCAGAAAAAATAAGTACATGGGGTTTCGTGATTAAATATTACAGTTTATGTAGAAAACTCAAGAGGTAAAAAGTCGGGGGGGATTTACGCAGAATTAGCATTATAGGGGTGGGATTAGGCAGTCAACCTTACAAAAGATTTTTTTTTTTGAACTTTCTAGACTTAAAGATCTTGTATTTTTTATTTTATTTATTGTATTTTTGGTTTTTGTTTTTATTTCAATTTAATTCTAAAAGTTCAAAGTCGAAAAATTATTAATAAAGCTTCCCATGCGACTATATAGTTCATGTTTTTACTTATTATCAATAGTAAAACTTTTTTTTTTGAGCCGCTACCGAATTCTTGAGCATTGAGAAGTTACCCCTTTGTTTTTAAGTTCTAAAACTGACTTATCACAACTTTATCATCAGCTGCACGATCCATTGTTTATGCCATATCATTCGTTAATTCTAGTGAAGAGAGTCGTATAACCAGTCACTTAACCTCCATTCCATTGATCCATTTTTTGGTCGTACCAAACCTAAGTAGAAAGAGCCGTTTAACCAGCTATTTAGTCTCCATCATATCGGCCATATAAGATTATACCGTTAAAATTATATCACAAATTTTGTGGATTTCGATATTATATGGAAGAATGTAAGCAAGTCATTATTACTCCATTAAGTGAACATGTGCAAGTTTTTATTGTAAATATAGTTGAAACCAAATATTTATATTGATATATTATTATTAAATACGAATATCAGTATATAGAAGAAGCATAGATACAACGAAAAATAAACATATTTATAAAATTATTATAGATTCTATATGAATAAAAATTAAAAGCTGAAGAGAAAATGCAAAGTCAATATCTAGGAAGAGAATATTCCTTGGGGAAATTATTATGGAACCTTGTATAATTTTGGCAATAATCATAAATCAAGTGGTACTTCCTCACTCATTTAAACCATCTCTTTTGCACTCTTGTCAATGAACTAAACTCATTCTTGTTCCACCAATTTGCATTGCTCTCTTCACTACAGGATCTTGGGTTGCCTTTCCAAATACAGGCATCTATCTTGTAATTGCCAAAGAATGCCACGAATGGACCCCTAGACCAATCAATCTTGTCACGCTCACCGCGTGTAGCCCATCTCTCACCGTTCCATAGACTAGCTTTTAAACTCATAGGTTGTAACCTTGGGAAGGCTACGCCTTTATCGTTGTGGTTTCTGTATAATCTTATCGGAATTTGATCCACCATAAACCTGAAACCACCCCAAAATATCATTCTTATGCGTCTTGCTTCTTTGAGTACGTAGTGAAAGAGATTTTGGTTAAAGACGCTTACACAATTTGGTGAATGTTCCACAAGATAGTATACGTGTGAAAGTCCTTGGTTGGGTCAAACCAGAGATGGATCCTTTCTTCGCGGTTATCAATTCCATCGGCATAGACATTTGTCTGAAGAATGTAAGGCTGCCCGATAACGTTTCCTAAGAATTCAAAGTCTATCTCATCCCGGTTTGTCTGATCCGAGGACATCTGATCAAGTGTTTCAAAAATTAATCATTAACATTGTGAGAATCACGCAGGGGCGGTTTAACGTCTTCAGATGATCTACTTTACACGAAAACTTGTGCCACTTTTCATATGTGCCTAAAACATTTCTCCCAAATTTTGACCAAATTTATTTTAGTGAGAAGATGTTACGTACATAATAAGCAACCACGGTTCCTTGAGAAGGTCCAGGGATTAGTTTGATCTACATATCTATTTGTCCGAACAAGAATATCTGGGAGGAAGAAAAGGAAGCTCCTATGTATGCATATAAAATCAAAAATTCAAAATATAAGTTCTTGATGGTGTAAAAACTCGAAAAGAGTTTGGGACGGTAAATAAAAATATTTATATACCAGATTCTTGATCGAGCTTAAGGGTTTTTGATCGACCATCACTTGAGGTGTTAATGTGGGTAGGAGACCATGTCACGAAGAAGTCTTTGTTAAAATCTCCCGATGAAACAAGAGAAGCTTTTGAGACCCATAATAGCAAACTGGCGATAAATAAACCCAGAAGTACAAATGGTTTTGAGCGATTTATAAGAGTCATTACTTTCTTAAGACGCACGAGATTGGGTTGGACGTTTGATCATTCATCAGTATATATACATATAACATATTGTATTGCATGAAAAGTGTAACGCCCCCGACCGCCCATTCCGGCGAGTCACCCATCCCTCCGTCAGGCTCGTAGGCCCCGTCTCTGTCGGACGGCCGGTGCGTTATTTTTTTTCCGGAGCTCAACCGACTTATTTACTGACCCTGCAATCACCACATGATCTTTCCCCGTCTTTTGGCCTCATTCACACGGTTTCAGGAATCACTTCCCGTAAGGTCACCCATCCTAGTCCTACTCCAGCATAAGCACCATTAACTGTGAAGTTTTCTTGGGACCTGTGACCGAAAAGATAAGTGCACTTTGATGACATAGGTAGCCAAATTAATCCATTTAAACTTATTCAAATGGGCCGAGTCCGGGTCGTTACAATTCTCTCCCACTAAACGGGAATTCATCCCTGAATTCTGATCCTCATAGTGAGAGTCTTAACCCCCAAACCCCAAGACAGTCTCCTGGGACAGAACCAGTTTGACTTCCTAGGCTCTGATACAACTTGTAACGCCCCCGACCGCCCATTCCGGCGAGTCACCCATCCCTCCGTCGGGCTCGTGGGCCCCGCCCCTGTCCGACGGCCGGTGCGTTATTTTTTTTCCGGAGTCCAACCGACTTATTTACTGACCCTGCAATCACCACATGATCTTTCCCCGTGTTTGGCCTCATTCACACGGTTTCAGGAATCACTTTCCGAAAGGTCACCCATCCTAGTCCTACTCCAGCTCAAGCACGCTTAACTGTGGAGTTCTCTCGGGACCTGTGACCGAAAAGAGAAGTGCACTTTGATGACATAAGTAGCCAAATTAATACATTTAAACTTATTCAAATGGGCCGGGCCCAGATCGTTACAATTTTCCCCCACTAAACGGGAATTCGTCCCTGAATTCTGATCTCGATAGTGAGAGCCTTAACCCCCAAACCCCAAGACAGTCTCCTGGGATAGAACCAGTTTGACTTCCTAGGCTCTGATACCATTTGTAACGCCCCCCGACCGCCCATTCCGGCGAGTCATCCATCCCTCCGTCGGGCTCGTGGGCCCCGCCTCTGTCCGACGGCCGGTGCGTTATTTTTTTCCCGGAGTCCAACCGACTTATTTACTGACCCTGCAATCACCACATGATCTTTCTCCGTGTTTTGGCCTTATTCATACGGTTTCGGGGATCACTTCCTGAAAGGTCACCCATCCTAGTTCTACTCCAGCGTAAGCACCCTTAACTGTGGAGTTTTCTCGGGACCTGTGACCAAAAAAATAAGTGCACTTTGATAACATAAGTAGCCAAATTAATCTATTTAAACTTATTCAAATGAGCTGGGTCCGGATCGTTACAAAAAGTGTTGGAAGTAAATTGTGTTCATATAGAAAGAATATCTTTGAGGAGAAGCAAAGAGGATAGATACTTACGTAGGAATATTTGTTTGCTTCATAATAATTTATACTTTTAGTTAACCTTGTTGTAAAATAAAAAAACAATTTCTATTTTTTCCCATCAAGAATTTATTGTTGAAATTTAAAAGCGAATCTTACATAAATCCAGATAAAACCAAAACTGACGGAACAAGTAAATATCATTGGAAATAAAGCCGGCACAAAACATGATTTTCCAGAAAACAAAACCTTATAAAAAGAAAATAAAATAAAACTTTTTTATTTGTTAAAGGGCCTTCAGTAAATAGAAAACACTAAAATTACAATGCACAAACATTTTGAATCTGTGACCAAAAACTACGAAACTAACAAATTATTTGCTTTTCTTTTATGCTGAGATTTGGTGCGAAGAAATAATAAAAAGAGTGATGAAATTCGACCAAAAAACTTTGTGTTAGTCGCTAGTTCGGCTTGGCAAAATTCCACATTCTGGAAAACTTTTTCCATATCCACATCAGCAATTTATTTTTATATTTTATGGGCTTTTAATTTTCTAATTTTATGGACTTTTATTTTGTATATAAATACTTTACTAATCATAAAATATAAATTATCTAAATTTTATATTTATATGCGCTTTTACATACATATTTCTTAGATATTCATATGACATAATTTAAAAGTTAAAAAACAAACATTTATTTTACAAGCCACAAAAATATAAATTATCTACAAATAAAAATTTTAGAATATTATTTCGAACAAGAAACAAAGAGAATATGTGAGATTGATGGTTAATTTATTTTGTTAATCTCTTTAAAAATAACCGGCATATGAAAAATAAATAAAGTAATGGAGAGAAAGATGTAGATACATACGAAAACGTATAAATATAAGATCAAGTTTTTTAAATAATTAATACATCACAATTTATATTTAAATAATTAACAATAGCTCTAAATATTTTTAGATTAATTAAAAAAACTAAAATAGCATTTAAAAATTAAAATAAGCTGAACAAATATTAAATAGATAAATATAATAGTAATTTAAAAATATGATTTCAATTAAGAAAAATAAAGAGATTTAGTGGGATTGATAGTGAATTTTTTCTGTTGATCTTGCTCAAAGTAAGTGACATATAAGAAAAAAACAATTGAATAAAAATATTTTTAGTGAGAAAATATAGATATATTCGATAACATATAAGTATGAAAGTGAGTTTTTAACAATTAACATATTAAACTTTCTATTTAAAAAAACAACTTCAAGATAGATCTACATATTTTAGGATAATAAAAAAATAACAAATATTTAAAATTGAAAAATAGAACAAAAATTTATTGAAAAGGCAAACATAATAATAATATAGATATTTAAAATTATAAATTTAAAAATTGGATAAAAAATAGGTTCGTAAATTCCTATCGAAATATATTCAGAGTACTATTTCAAATAAGAAAAAAAAAGAGTAAGTGAGACTGGTGGTGAATTAACTTTGTAGATCTCACTAAAAATAATTTAAAAAATAAAAAAAGCCAACTAAGTAGAGATATTCAATAAAAACATATAAATATTTATAACATCTATAAGTATAATAAAATATTTCTTATCATTTGACACATCACAATTTTATTAGTAAAAAACTTTACAATAATCTCATATATTTTTAAATAATGAAAAACAAAAATAACATTTTTAATTTTTTTAAAAACAAAAGCAAATATAAAACCATACAAAATAAAAGAATAAATAAACATAATGATAATATATATATAATTAAAAAATTGATTTACAAATCGTTGCGCGGATTAATTTTTAATTTTACTAATTTGGCTAATTCTTCAACATTCTAATTCATGCCTTTAGTTTTATATTCAACCAAATCAACACTAAAATTTCCACGAACTTACCCAACTGTCACCATTTTTACACCTTACATTTATTTATGTTTAGCAAAAAAAAAAAATTTCCGAAAATTTTTCACTATATTTGAGATAAAAAAAACAATTCTTCCAAAAAATAATACAATATTTTACTGACCACACATCTAATCTAAAGATTACTCTAGGATTTGTTGTTCAATCTAGAGGAACAAAATTTAAATACCTAGAAATCCAAAAATTAAGTTTTAAAAATACAGACTAAATAATCCAATAGATAAAAATAGAGAAAAACTTTTATGATATCTTAAATTAGTTTAATTTATTACCTTTTTACGAAGAGTTGCATATTATTTTTTAATGTTTTTTCTAATTTTAAATTAAGAAGAAGTTTAAATGGTGAATTTTGGTTTTAGTAGAAAATTTTAAAGCCCAATAACTAGTTTTAACTTTTAATCTGCCTCGAAATTAATTAAATATTCTAAGATTTTTAGAAAAAGCAATATGCCAAAAACGAGGTCATTATAAAATACTCTTGCTGTAAAATATTTTTTAAATAGAAAATTTTAATTTCCACAAGCACAAACCATTCTTATTAAGAACATAATTGATCATAATTGATAATAGCTAATTGATAATAACTGTAGTTTTACATTTTTGCTACAGAAATATAGCTGCATTCTGTACACACCATCGTCACTCTTACTAATTGAAAATTTCAATAAAGTGTTCGGCTATGACAACGTATATGTTTACTAAATCCGATGTTGCGAGAAATTATTTAAATTTTATTATTTAGAAAAAGGAGAAATCGTAACAAAGTTACGTAGATAAATCTGCGAAAGTATTATTGTTATATCCTAACCAAAACAAAACAATCAATCATTATTCTCAAATAGACAAGTTTTTTAGCTGATTTCGTGCCTGCCAATTTCATGGTTTCACGTAAGATCATAACGAAGATATATCTATATTTCAGTTGAATCATGAACTTCGATTTCAGATATCACAAAACCCCCACATAAAAAATATGGATGCAAGTTCTACAGATCCATCAACAAATAAAATTTCAATTTCAACTACTTTTGTTTTTTAAAATAGCTATAAAAACAGTAAGTTCCCTCCCAGTTCGATAAGTAAAAATACATTACTTGATGAATTTTAAAAGAAGTAGCTCGACATGAAATGAGATCGGCCGCTGTATAAATTAGGATATAAAATACTATTTTATCTTGAGTTCAGATCGACAAAAAGGCGGGGATCAGATGGCAAATTAGGTGCGAAAAGCTTCTGCCTAAAGTTCCTGCCAAAAGTAGACTAGTTTAAGCTAGGTCTGCGCAAGCAAAACTAGACTTGACACATATCAATCGATAGAGGAAGAAAGCAAAGAGGCCGATTTAAATAAAATGAGAGAAAATACAAACAGTCGCCAAGGTCATGATGACTCTCGATAACCGTTCAGATTTCTCTATAAATAGGAGGGTTCGGCTCATAAATCTTCACTTCTGTATTTTAGCGAAACTCTGTCAAAAGGTTTGATCTTTTCTCTCTCTTCTTTGTTCTTTATTTTTTAGATTTTCAGATCACGTCTCCGCCGTGTTTCGTTCGATCTTCGTCGTGTAATTTCTCCGATCTGCCTTGAAGCCGTTCCGAAAGTCCGATCAACCATGAGCAAGATCTTGAAAATT